CCCAGCACCAAATAACTCATTTGTAAAACTGTTTGGACACAGATTTTTAGTGAATAATTCTGATAATGCTTTTTAATGTCTAAATAATATTTGTTGTCATTTATTGGATGCTTATTACTATGTAACAAACGCTATAACTACCTCACACGCCTCATCTTATTTTAGCCTCAGAAGTAAGTATCATTTGTATTCATCTTTACGAATCCTGATAATTAATAATTACTGTTCCTATCTCACAGATAAGGAAACTGGGGCTTTGAGAGGGTGAATAGCGAGACCAAGCTCATGCAGAGAATGGCTCGGATGTGAACCCAAGCTGTCTGACTCCAAGTTCTCTACTTTTAGCAGCGAGTTACCATGCTGTTTCCCTGACTTCTTTCTTGTTATTTCGTTTTGGTTTTGGTCTGTTTAAGTTTCCTGTGCCTTACGGAATCAATTTTGCTAATTTATAGTTTTCTAGAAAATCATTAATTTTACTGAGATTTCATTTAAAAAAAAAAAACTCTTAGTACTCTCACAATTTTTGATCTCCTGTTTCTGTGGTTATATTCATTATTAGTTTGGTTTATGTTTCCTCCTTTTCTTGATTATCAATGTATTCGAAATTGCATATTAAATTAGGAAAGAAAAGTCTAGTAATATGAAAGAGGCTTGGTGATATTATAAAATGGAAACAAAGACTTTTTTCTTTAAAAATATTCCATTTTCATCCACTTTTAGTTCCTTTTCTCCTTCCTCTATCCTAGTCATTCAGAACAAAATGCTTAGGGCTAGAAAGAAACTTAGGAATACTTTGCTGAGCCCCTTAACTCAGCGGGACCTAAAAAGAGCTTCTACCTGTCCCAGGTCCCACAGTTATCAAGTGACAGAGGTACTATATCATACATTCGTGCTATCACTCAAAATAATTCATTTTAAAAACAATAAATTAAAGAAGATTGCAAAGAAATCTTTTTTAAAGCTTTAAAAAAGTTTAAAGCTACTTAATTTTAAAAGATTGACAAAGTCAGCTTAATAATATTGATTTTGATTGTTTCAATCTATATGATTTTCACAGAAATCATCTTCTATTGCGCTCTTGTTTTAAACCACTCTTTCTAGGATACATCTACCCAAAGAAAGCATAGTGTCAGGCAGGAAAAGGTGTGTATTTTTTCACCTCTAATGCACCTACTAGAAAGGCCACAAGAGAGCTCCTTCATCAGTAGAAGGGGAAACAATAAAATGGAATCCAGCCCTAACTGGGGTCTCAGGATGTCCTCCCAGGTCTGAAGAGAACAGAAGACACGCCCTTAGTGCTCTGCTGACCCCGGTTGGAGGCGCCCGGCAGGGCGCTGCAGTAATGAGAGCCTGGGCATCAGAACTCACCCGCATGAAGGAGGACAGGGCAGTCCCCATCTTGATGATGGAACAAGGCACACCAAGCTCTCACATGGTCCAAGCGTGTTCTCACAACATAATTACCGTAAATTGCTCATTTCCTGGTTGTTTGGTGTGTGCATGTGTACAAATGAGCAGATGTTTCTGCCAACTGTCTCATCAGCAATCTGCAATTAGACCCCAAGGAACCAACTGCTCGTTGTGGTTTAGGGGCCATTAGCTGCTGAAATAATGACATCTGTCATAATTTTCATACCTCATCCTGTCCTGGATCTTATCTCCAAACTGCTCTCAAAATGAATGCCTAAGTTACCTAAAATAGACCAACCGGATTTTATTAGCTCTACTCTCGTAGCCATCTTGGTGAAGTGTTGTAGGGTTGAATAATACCTAATAATTATTGAGTGTTTCCCACATGCCTGGCATTGTATAAAGTTCTTTACAAACAGCGTAACTCACTGAACCCACACAAGAACTCTGTGAGGCAGATACTGTCATTCTCCCCATATTAGAAGTACATAAACTGAGGCACTGAGAAGTTTGATAATTCACATCTAGAAGGGAACAGCACTTGGATCCAATATTTAGGCCTGTTTGACTTTCATGTTATATATTGACACAGGAACTGCATGTCATTTGGCTAGTAAGATACTCATAATATATTAAAATGATGAAAGGAAGAATAGGCAATCTAGTTTTGTATGAGGAGCCAAAACAAAATATTGGTTCTAAAATAATGGAACGTTTATTTAATGCAGGGACTCTCAACTGGAGGCAACAGCACCTGCCTCAGGGGGCATCTAGAAAGGCATGGGGTCATGTTTGGTCATTTTGGTTGTTACGCTGATGGTTTCTCAGGATGTTAAATGTCCAGGAGTGTGCAGAACAGTTCTAGGAACTGTCTCCAAATGTCAGAGACTGTTAAGAGTTACTAATAAAATGGAATAGTAGGAATTTGAAAGGATGCTATAAAAGTCAAGGATGGCGAACTCAAATGCCTTCAGAAATCAGCCAGGGGCTGCAGAGTACATGTCCCCTCTTTGTGAGTCCAAATCTCTAAATCTTTAAAGCACATCATCAAACAAAATCATTTAGGCACCAAATTGGGCTGTGGGTCCCCAAACTGGGGCTTTCAGTGGAGGTTTTTCTAATCTCAATGCATGTTTATGATACCTTACGTGAAGAGGACAAGCTGTTAATTAGTATGATCCCATGTTTTAAAAAAAAGTACATGTGTATACATATATTTACACACATATACAAAATATATTTATGAAAATGTATAGACAATTTTATGTAATAAAATTTGGGGTGATTTTATAACGTGCTTTGCTTATTTGTATTTTTAATTCTTCTACTACAAATATCTATTTATGGTTGAAATTTTAATAAATAAAAAGGGAGGGGAGCCTTAGAAAAATTAAAACTTTGAGTGTGGCGTCAGAACACGCCCTGGTAGCTTACTGGCCATCCCTTTGGATGGGAGAGGGAGAATAATTTTCATGATTAAGGACAAATGAGACATTCAACATGCAGTAATCAATCAATACACTAAAGCACTGGAGTGCCTTAAAAATGGAACACTGGTGATTTTGCAGATGCACTGGCCTAACTTCTAGCTCTTTTCCATGACTTTTATGTCTTTTGTGGCACCTTAACGCTCTTCTGATCAAGTCCAATCTTCTTTTTGCAGCTGCCCCGGAAATCGGTCTGGTACTGAAATTTGCTTGAGGAGATAGTATCTGTCCTCAGACATATCTATGCCTTTCTTTCAATCTAGTCACCAAATCCTTCGAGATTATTGTTTTTCCTGAAAAAGCTCCTTCTTGCTTCATCTCGATCACTTTTGTAGTCCCCCCATCCCCCCGCCCCAGCCTCTTGACTCTATGGTTTTTATTTCGTGCGCAGTCACTTCAAGCTTTCTTTCTGGAGTTTGCTGACCATTGGGGAAAATTGGATTTTCTATTCATCTGTCTATGGACTTCAGAGAGGTAACTTCCTGGAGTCCTTTGTCACCTGCCATCTGGGTCGGTGCCCTCCCTGGGACCCCTTCTTACCAGTCCCATAGTGAGCTAATGGCAGCTCTCCTACAGAAGGCACCGAGAAGCCCAGCTCACTTTCTGGTGCTTCTTGGCACTGCAGTGTCGGGAGCTGGGACAAGCAGAGAGAGAGGGCTTTGACATGAACGGGAAGGAGAATCCTCACATCTAGAACATTCTCACTTTTCATCCCCCCCTCCCAACCCCTACCCATCTCGCATGCTGAATCTCAACGAAATAAACACCTCATTTCTGGATCCTGAATCTATTTTATAATTCAAACTAAATAGGACTTGGGAGCTATAATGTTAGGTGTGCTTTGCTCATTTAACTTGAAGAGCAAAGGATAGATAAAGTTCCTTTGGGAGAAGTGTCTAGAATTTATTATGTAGGAAAGAGGGAGCTTCAGTAATTTCAATGAATAAATTGGGCCAGTTTGCTCCCAACTTTGACCTCCCACAGAAAGGTCATTCTGAGGACTAGCTTGCTGGTCTGTGAAGGGTGCAGAGGAGATAGTCCGACTTCCAGTGGACCAACACCCACAGCCTTGGAGAGGCCACCCTCCCCCTCTCCCTGTCACTGACCGCTCTCTCCGACTCTTGCTCCAAAATTTGATCTTAGAATGTCCCAGTGTGAGAACTACAAATAAAAACAAAATATTCAGGACGTTGTGCACTGCCCTTACCCCTTGGAAATCCTGACTGGGAAAATAAGCCTTAATGGCAGTAAAAGCCTTTTTAAGGTTCACAGTCTGCAGCAGGACAGTGAGTGGTGGTGAAGCCTCATCTCAGTGCTCCGTGAATACCATTTCAAAGGCTTTGAATTATCCTGCCTTTACCTTAGAGTGAATCCACGTCCAGCCGCTTGTTGATGGAATTCATAAGCAAGTTTTTAAATTAAACATATTCATAAGGGTGTAACGGAAGCCAAAGTCTTGGTCCTAAAGCCCAATGAAGCCATGTAGGATGTGTGTGTGTGTGTGTGTGTGTGTGTGTGTGTGTGTGTGTGTGTGTGTATTTGAGGTTCGGACTCCTTTAAAGACTGTCTCCCAGTGTATTTGCTCTAGTTAGACCCGTGTGCTCCTGGCAGGTTAACTCTCTCTGAGAACAGAGTAATGGCTGAGCTTGCAGGCATGGACTTAGATCTCAAATCCAGGCCTGGCCACTTGCCGGTTGTGCAACCTCAGCCATGTCCCTCAGCTCTCTGAGCCTCAGTGTGCTTGTGACAAAAGGAGGGCAATGATATCCGGGTCGTAGGAGCGTGTGAATTGGATAGGATGGTGCGCGTGCCAGGGGCTCAGCACTGGCCACTACTGCCTATTTTGTAAATTCAAAAGCTGACATCTGGGGAGAGGAAAGTAAATAATCCCCAAGCAGTGTGTTTGCCAGAGGAGAATTGGGGCATAGAGGCTAGGAGTCCTGATCAGCTGCCTTGCCTCCTGCAGGTCTCTAGGACAGTCCCGCTTGTGGTGCTACTTGGAGACGAGGTGCTCAGGGCTGTTCTTCTCGAGTCTCTTCCTGCTGTACCAGGAAGAGTCTGAGCCCCACTCGCGACCCGTGGCTGCTGTGCAAGGAGCTTGTCATGCTGACAGAGTGAGTGAGGTTCCAACAGGGCGAATTGGTGTAGCTGGCTTCCAAGCATGCACGCTATCCAGAGAGGCAAAGGGACCTGCCCTGAAACACACAGCAGCACCGGATGGCTGCCTCTGGCCGGGGGCGGGGATGGGTTTGCAGCTGTACTGGCATCTCTGCAATCTCCAGCTCTGACCCTTCTCTTTTCCCAACAGAGATATGAAGTTATGGCATGGCTTAGTGATCGCGGTCGCGTCTCTCATCCTGCAGGCCTGCCTCCTTGTGGTCGTCAACTACCTGCTCAGCAGGCACATCGGTAACAGGCTCAGCGTCCTCTCCCCTCCTAGTCTCCCTTAGGGACAATTCTTAAGCCTGAAGCAGGACCAGCCCCTCTTTGGAGGCCCTGAATATCACTTGAAAACCTTATGGATCCACTGGCCAGATGGCCCTCACCCTGCCAACCTCGACTGGGTGATCCCTGCTCTGAACCAATCTATTTCTGGTTGGGAACGACAGCCCAGAGTCTTTTCCCTACCTGGACCTTCTGCCTAGAGATAAGCTTCTGTGGTGCTCGTGGGGCGGGGGGCGCTCATTGAACCTGGGCCTAACTAATTTTCTTCATCACCACCAAAGGGCTGAATATGAAGAAATGGTTTTAAATGGTAACAGAAGAGAATCTGGTCAGACTAAGAGATCATCTTAAATTCTTGAACTGCTTTGCAATGGGAAGGAGAGAAGCTGTGTCCTGGGAAGGCATCACAGTTAGGAAATATAATAACACTGCTTTGGCGAAGGCAGGGGATTGGACGAGAAGATGTTAAGAAGGTTTTTCCAGTAAAGGAAATCTAGGCTTCTCTAATCATTCATTCGTTCATTCATTCATTCACTTACTCACTCAGTATAACAGGGAACAAAACAAAAACCCCTGCCCTTGTGTAACTTACATCCCATGAGAGCATACACAACAAACCAGATAGGCGAAACACATGTGGGTTAGATTACGGTAAGCGCTAGGGAGAAAGAAGGCAAGGCAGGGAGATAGGAATCGGATGGCAGCCGGCATCCCCGAGATGCAGACATGTGAGTATAAACCTAAGGGGAGCTGCACCTACAGAGGCCCTGAGGCAGGAGAGCATTTGGCACATAACAGCAGGAGCAAAGGGGCGGGGGTGGCTGGAGCTGAGGATCAAGGGGAAGAAGAGGGGGCGAAGCCAGAGAGAAAGAAGGAGCGAGGCCACAGAGGGCCTTTAAGGTTGGGACTTTGGGCTCTACTCCAAGGGAGATGCAGGGCGCTGCAGTGTTCTGAGCGAAGAAGTTCTGAGACCTGAAGAGATCCTTCTGAATGTTTTGCTCTAATGAGAGCCGTGCTCAGGAATAGGATGGGCCTGACCCGGCCGGCTTTCCCATATGACCCCTGCCCTGTCTCCTCTAGCCAAAGAGAATGAGCAATTACTACAAAGAGCCAGGCTCCAGGCCCCCAAGCTTAACCCTGCCCACCACCACCTACCTGCTGCCCAGGAGATGAAGGAGACTCGGGCAGAGAGAAGCACTCCCGTGTCTGAGCCCTGTTACAGGCGTGAGTAATGGGGCGGGGAGAGCACTGGTTGTAAGTTCATACAGAATATTCTGCTCTGTCTGGACAACTGGGGTTGGGGGCACCATGACAGCCCAAGCTGCTAGCCTGAGGGGTCCTCACACCCATCCCAGTAATGGCCTCGCCACCTTACCTTTTTCAGAAAGCTGTTCCTCCTGTCATGTGGGACAGACCTCGCTGGGTTTGTATGGGTCTAAGCTCTTTCCCAGGTTTGGTTCCATGTGAACAACTGTATAGGGGACGTGGGGACTGCCTCTGTTCCCGTCTTTGTAATACTATGGCATCTTTTCTTTCTCTCGGCCCGTTAGTGGTGAGGCCAAGGTTTCAATGATCTCTGTCTACCCCCAGCCATGGCTGCTGCTATGCATCATGCCATCTGGCCAGTGTCATTGGCTTGTCCCAGGTGACTCAGCCATACTCCCAGAGGCCCCTTCTCTACAGTCTTAGATCCTCATGGATATCTAGGTATTTTAATAAATAAGAGTCTTGGTGATGGTTCAAATGGCTGTCTGCCTCGGGAAAGTGGACCAGCACGCTCACCACCCTATGGCTCTATCTCAGGGCATGGGCGACCCACCAGGTGAAAACTGTTGCTTCCACAGTGAGACAGCTACCTCTAGAGGTGCACTCACCAGAGAGTGAGCTTTTCCATTGGTTTATCTCTCGATTCATTTGGGTTTGCTCCATCCTTCGAGTTTTATCTTTTGAGTTGGAGATATCAGGTTGTCACACTTCCCCAGCACTGAGAGAAGGCTTCAGAGCACGGGGGGACCGGAAGATGCCACTGACACGAATTCAATGTTTCAGCAGAATGGGAGAGGCACTGACCTCACCATGACCCAAAGCTTCACCAAAGCCTGGCCAGAACCAGACTGGCTGTCAGAGAGTTCAGAGATTATTGTCCAACCTTCTCATTTTATAGGGGACAAAACCAGGGCACAAAAAAGGATGTAATCTGCATGGACTTAGGGACAGGTTTAGATGACAACTTGTGCCTGTGGCTTCTGAGGCCAGAGCTGTTTGCCCCGGGCCACAGCATGTCTCAGCATGTCCTTGTTCACTCCTCCCAAGTTCAGGAAAGCCTAGTGTGTTTGTTATTTGTTTTAGATGGAGCTGGACAAAGCAGCAGTGCCTAGACTCTGCCTACATTTGGAGGCTGTCTGTCCCACCACCTTTTCTCTGTTCTAGTCCTTCTTTTGCTTTTGGGGGCTTTGTATCTCTCCTCCCCGCTCCTCTTTGCGTTGCTGGCTCTGCCTCTATCTTTGTCTCATCCTCCCTTCCATTGGCTCTATCTTCTCCTAACACCCTGCAGCTATCTTTAGAAGAGTAACAGTTTCTATTTCTCCCTAGATGACAGTGATACATCCTCAGACAGCTCCGACACCTCGGACAGCTCCAACAGCTCGCCTCCCACCGGCCAGGTAATGGAGACGCCTAGTGAGAGCTCAGCCCTCCATATACAGCCTAGGGTCCCTGCTGTAAAACTCAGAACTGAGGCCCTCCCAATACAGAGAAGGGAGCAAGAAAGGAGGGGCTTCCTGAGTCAGTACAACATCCTTACGCGAGGGCGGTCACACTTTCACTCAGCCCCACGTCAGCACAGATCATCCACAGTGGGTCTGGATGGGCTGTAAAAATGGAAGTGCTGATGGGGAGCCTCCTTCTCCCCATATCCCAGTCACTGGGCCACTGCTCTGAGTCCTGACCTCATTTGCATTGATTCTCTACATTTTTCTTCCTTAAACCCATTCATTCTCTGAAGACAGAAGGAACAAAGTCACTGGCAATCCTCCTCACTGCCCTGGCCCTGCTCTCAGACGTGGCTACCTGGGACCAGGTTCCTTCCCACTCAGCTTAGGGCCAGCCTCTTGGAGTGGGAGTTCAGTCCTGGGGTCCTACCTCCTCCAAATATGATAAGAATCTTGACCTATATTTCTCTGCTCTTTTTCCTTAAGGCCACCAAGAATGTGAATTACACACAAGTGGTCTTTTCAGCCACTGGTAGACTGAAAAACAAATTTGCCTTGGACTATGAGAACATAAAGGAAACCACAGATTATGTCAACATCGATCCCAAAAGTCACACGCACAATTCCTGGACTTTTGTGAACCCTGCTGTCTCTGAGCCAGTGGAATACACTCAAGTGGCCATATGAATTCTAGGCTTTTTTTTTTTTTTAACTGGGTGACGTTCTCTATGAATTCTTGTACTTGTTTTGCAGAATTACTTCTTTTTTAAAAACAAAACAAAACCTAGGAGAAAAAAATAGGCTTGGTCTATGGCCATGCCACCCTGAACGTGCCCGATCCCATCTGATCTTGGAAGCTAAGCAGGGTTGGGCCTGGTTAGTACTTGGATAGGAGACCACCTAGGAAGACCAGCAAGGAAGATTCATATGAGATGTTAGGAAGAACTTCCAGGGTAAATATGAAAAGATTGGAGCACATCAATAGAGAAAGTGGTGAAGTTTCCATAGAAAAACTTTTAAAATATTTTAATCAGTTGTAGTAGAATTCTGCTTGTCAATCTTATGATTAAATGACTCTCTGAGATCTTTAATTATTGGCAATAAACAACTTACTCAAAAGTGTTAGATAAAATGGCGACCGTCAGTCAGTTCCTTTTTTCCTCTTGCTTAACCCGGCATGTGGCATGCGGCCCTTGTTCAGTGCCACTTGCCGACTAGTCCTGCTTTGCCCTCAGAACCTTAAATGGTCCACTGAGAAAGCCCACCATCATTCAACCTTTGAATGCACTGTTTCTTATGAATGAAAGGTGACAAACAGTCCTGGTGAATACCAATCAGCATCACAATCTGTTATTACCAGAAAAACTGAATCCAATAAAATTCAATACCCATTTCTGGTTTGTTGTTTTTTTTTGTTAACCAATTAGGAATAAAGGGACGCTTTCTTAACTTGATTAAGAATAGCTTATCCTAAATCAGCAGATTGCATTATACGTAACTGTACGGTCCTAGATACGGTCCTATTAAATCAACAACAAAGTAAGAATGTCCACAAGCCTGCTATTTCTTTTATCTTACATTGCTCTAGAAGTTCTAAGCAATAAAACAGTTAACAAAAAGAAGGGCTGCAACTATTGGAAAAAAAGATAAAATTTGTCATCGTTAGCAGGTATTCTAGTCCTAGAAAACCTCAGAGAGTTAACTTAAAGTATTTAAAAATTGATAACATGCAGTAAGCAGTGACTAGAGAAATATACAATATACTTTCTCCAACAGCTAATTAAGACATAAAAAAAATTCTTAAACATCTCAAAACATGGAAACCCTAGGAATACTCCTAGCCGAACCCCAACCCCAGATGAGTCACATTTGGGTCTTAAAGGCAATTTATGAACTAGCTCCGTCTGCTGGCTGTAAATTACCTTTCCAGCCCTGGTACTGGGAGCGGTGGGCAGCGTTTATGTTCCCAGCTTCTTTCCCAAGAAGATCTGAATGAATGATTCTGGTTTGGTTTCTGGGGCTGAAAATTTTTGCCGGTCTACATGTCTCTCCACCTTTTATCTGCCATTGTTATTTTTCTTCTGCTAAGATTTGAATATTTGTGCCCCACCCCCCAAATTCATACGCTGAAATCCTAACTCCCAAGGTGATGGTGTGAAGAGGTGGAGCTTTTTGGAGGTGATTAGGCCATGAGGGCAGTGCCCTTGCGGGTGAGATTAGTGCTCTAATAAAAAAAACCCCATAGAGGCCCCTAGCCCCTCCTGCCTTGTGGAGGTACAATAAATCTGCAACCCAGAAAAGGGCCCTCACTCACCAGGCTGGCACCCAGTGTGTGGCATTTTGTTATGGCACTCAGAATGGACTAAGACCTCTCCTTAGTGAGCTTTTCTTAACAGGGTAAAAGAGATTCTATCGGTTAGAGAGACGGAGAGAGGAATAAACACCAACGACAACACTGTCTTTGCATCCAGAAGTGAAACTACTTCTTACTGATCTTTTTTGAAAAGAGAAAAAAGTCTAGAGTGAAGAGGTTCAGACAAGTCACAGTGCACCTGAGAGAGACCGCACAGGGACAGCGCCACAGTAGCTGCCACACCAGGACGGGAGACTACTGCAGGGGCGCAGACAGAGCCTGCTTTCTGCGAAATTCCGGATGGACCCTGTGGGTTGGGAGGAGGATCCAAATAGAAGACTTGAGCACCTGGGTGGATGGGGTTAAGGCATGCACGACCTAGTTGTGGGACAGGCAAGAACATGTGCAATACAACCTGTGACAAAGGGGAAATTGACACTGAGCAGTGAAACTAGAGCCTGTTAATGTTTAAGCAAACTGGGCGCGAGACTGTTAGGATCAGGTGGACCTAATCAGAGAAACCGTCCCAGAGAGAGTTGTTTCTGACCTCAATTTAGAAAGAAGGGTGGAAAACTAATTGACTGGAGAAAAGGGAGCAGGCCTGACGAGATGCGGGCTCTCTGACCCGCCTGGAGAAATGTCTGTGGCTCCGAGGCAGTGGTGATACTCTGGAGCAGGGAGTAGGTTCACAGAGAATAGAGATCTGAATGCCACTGACCATCTGATTAAGTTCTCTGATGAACTCTGCTATGACTGGAGCATCCACCCAGATTGCTTATGGGAGGCGTTCTTGGAGAGTGCCGTTTAAGAATAGAGTTGAAAGTGTGTCTCCAGTGAATTACAGAGATTCGATTGTCAATGGTGCAGATGACTTCTCAGATGCCCTGATAAGTAAAGAGGAGGGCTGATTTCATGTCCTAAGGAGTTTGAGCCAATAAGCTGATGATTGGGGCCAGCTAACAATTTGAACTGATCCTCAAAATCATTGCCAGCCATGTTGCTAGAAATAAAATGGACATGTTTGCGATACCTCATGAATTTAGAAGGTTAGCTGCCTAAACCTGTGCAAAAGGTCGCCTGTATGAGTAATCGCCCTTTGAAGAGCGTAGTTTCTAGTACAGTGAAGTTACTTTCTCGCATTGTATGTCATCGGAACCTCCAGGGAACGATCGTGCTGCCCCGCTCTGGGTTCCTCTGTGAGTGAGAATTGGATGAAAACCCCTCCAAAACTCTCTTATAACAAGATATAAAGAAATCGATTTGCTACTGGCAACCAGCAGATGGTTGATTACAGAAGACCAGAATAAATGTGACCTGTCTTTAATGAATTCTTATTCTAAGAACCCAAATGCGCACCATAGAACTTCAGCAGAATTCCATGAGGGACACTGTCTCATTGGCCAACAGGACCCGTTGGGGTGAGAAGGTATTTTATGCCCACCATCAGCGGGTTTCATACTCCTGGTATCAGGACAGATTTCTGGCTTCAAGAGGACTTCTAACACATGCCCCCAGCCTCTAAACAGAACACATTAATAACCCCATCTCATCTGTTTTGTTTGTTTGTTGGAAGTCCCACTGGCTCCCTCAAACACTCACCCTTTCGGACAGGAATTTCTATACTCAGTTCTTACACCTGCAGAGGAAACTACCTGTTCTTTGTCCCTCTTTGCCAAATACATCCTCTGTGAACTTAGCAATGAAGAAGTACATGTCAGGGTATTTCAGGAGAACTGGGTCCAGTGAGAGGCAAAGACTCTAGAACTTAAGGGAAAGTTATATGGCTTTAGAGTTGGGAGACTGGGTGGCTTTCCCAGCCTGCCCTTGTGGGTTGTCACTGCTTCAGACCCACTTTCAGCTCCACACTGCCACTGTGTGGCTTCAGGGAAAATTGCAGGACACTCTTGTTTCCTTTTTTCTCTTAAACTGGGTGAAAGGGCACCACCAGGAAGTCAGCTCCCCACACCTCAGCCTTCCCCCTGCCCCTTCCCTGCCCGGCTTAAGAAGATCAAAACTTCATTTTAGCATTCCTATCCCATTATCATTGCCTCTAGGAAACAAAGATTCCCAGAAATTTCTTGGTTGTTAAGGAATTTTATTGGTTAATCTCAACCACATCTCTAGGTTCCTGACCCAGGGGTGAGCTGCTGCATCCTGGGCTGAATCTATAGCCTCTTGATAAATATAAAACCTATTTACATACAAAATACAGACAGAGTCATCTGGAAAGCGATTGAGCTATACCAAACAACATAAAAAGCCATTCTGAGAAATCCCCACAGTGAACCTCTGCCCTGCCTGCCCCCTTGCCCCATGCTCCCATGTGGGATCTGAGAAGCTGAAGTACTGTCTTTCACAGAGTGCTAGCTTCCCGGGGTTAGCTGTCAGAAATGAGATTGACTCAGAGAGCACAGAACCTCCTTGCTTCTCACAGGACCCCAACCCTCCGAACCCTATCCAAGGCCCTTGTGCTGTCTCAGAATACCCATTAGAGCTTCCTACACATGCTGCAAAAGTGTCATTCATAGATCCAGACACGATCCTGCCATTTCCTTCACGAGTCTCCTGGAATAGGCTCCCAAGGCCCGGGCCCAGTTGCTCCCCACTGGGCTCACTATAGGACAGCACCAGCTTTCTGAAAAAGATCAAACACAGCCTTTCCATGGAAGTAACAGCAAGGGCTCCCAAGCCACCACCACGAGTAAGTCGCCCTTGCATGATACAAGACTGAAAATCTAACAGTGGCATTGTTTGACATAGTAGGCAAAGAGTAGACATAGAAGGCGCTCTGGCCAACCTTGACTCCAGGTGTTCCCTCCTCCCCTCCGAACTGTAGAGTGTCTGGGCCCAGTCACCCACCAGTGACTCACCGAGTCGGGTCATCATTCTCTTTTCTAACATCAGTGGAGTGTTCTATTGTCTACAGTCTCCCAAATCTCTCCAACAAAGTGGCATTGTTATTTCCATTTAACAAATGAGGAAACTGTTGCTCAGAGATCAGCTAACTTGCCTAAATTCATACAGGTAGAAAAGGGGTGAGATCAGGACTCAAACCCATATTTTGAGAGTACAAAGCTGGTTTTCCTTCTACTTCCTGTTTACCACGATAAGCAAAGATTTACTTAGTACCTACTATGGGCACTAGAGTCAGGACCTATGGTCTGAAGGGAGGAGGTGGCTTATGTAAGCAGGGGAAGGAGCAACTTCAACAGCTCAGGCTGGCGTGGGAGGCTCCAAAGCTCAGCTCCACTGGGGCGGGTGGACAGGGAGGTGGTTGGATGTCAGGGACTGACATGGGCAACAGATTGCAGTGAAGAGACTGTGGGTCTATTCCTGAGACTTGGTCCCACTAAGGGCCTGTGTCCTGCCCTCCAGTTCTTCAGCCCTGAAGAGTTGGGATGCTTTGCTCACTCACAACGCTCAGATCCACTCTTTTCTTTTAAGGAAATTTTAGGAGGCTTCTCAGAGCGGAATGCCTCTTAGAGAAGTGTATCCTCGAAGCCACAATCATTTCTCAAAGCCTCCCTAAAAGAGGGGGGCAGATTGAACCTGCTCTCTAGAATTGCTCTTAAGTAGATTAGCATCACTTACATTAGTACAGAGCTCATGAGTTTACAAACCACCTATAGATCCACAGTCGTATTTGACTCTCATAACCGAGAGAGCAAGCATTTCACCCATGTCGGTCATCAGTGATGGCATGGTAGTAGAGCCAGGACCCAGTTCTCCTAACTTTTTAGCAGATGCCGTTTCTATCATCAAGACCATCTCTGAGATTAGAATCAGAATTAGGGCAGAAAAGCTACCCCATGATATAAACCCCATTGGTGATAGTTCAGGGCAGAGCTCCCAGATTCTACGTGCTCTGCTGTCTCTCCTGGCATTAGCATCACAGAATTGAGGGTAAAATTGGACAGTATGGCTATGGCAGGACACTCAGCCACCAGAACTGAGTCAAAGAGTATAAATGTCATGGTCATGAAAATCCAACAATTTTTCTGGGACCTGTTGGTTAGAGTGCCCTTTGTATTTCTCTATTGTAACATCATTTCCAGTCTTACAAAGTCACAAAAGGTTAGAGCTGGGAAAGATCTTAGAGATCATCTCTCTTCTACAGGGCAGGAGACTGAGGCCCAGAGAAGGAGGTGACTTGCCCAAGGTCATACAGTTACCTGAAAGCAGAGCCGAGTTTCAAATCTCCCGCTTCTGACTTTATCACAGCATGCATATTCATGTGAAAGCTCTGAAGAGCCTTGAGGAAGTCCATGGCCATGATCGCATCACATTTCCTCAAAGGTTATCTCCACCATGCAGCCCCAGAGGGAAGAGCAGTCTGGACTCCTTGGGGTAGGAGGGAGCGCGACTCCTCCCTGGTGCCTCTGAGGCATCCTCCACTCTTAATCTGACTGTGGCCATTTTCCTCCCCTCCTTCCCTCCCTTATTTCTTCTCACACTCACTCCCAGTGGGTCATGCCGCTAAGAATATACAACACTGTGCCCCTGCCTCCACTCTATAAAGGGGAGTGGTACGGGGAGAAGAGAAACTAGAATTTGCAGAGTTTTTGCTAGTTACCTGATGCTGTAGTAAAGCCTGCATCTCCCTGCATTAGACAGGGGAGCATAGCAGGCGAAGCCCCAGCCCCATTCACTTTTCCTCATTAAACAATCCTACCTCTACCAAAAAAAGAGGAAAAAAATCCAAGATCCAAATACGGTTTTCCTCACAGTTTTTCACTTTTTCCCTCTTCTGATTGGGCTGGGTGTGCTAGTCAGATTAGGATGAGGACAAGCAGACAAGGTAGGAGACCAGCCTCTGAGTTCCAGCCACCTGTGGACCCCCAGACAGGGCCGTCCTAGGCCTGCTCCAGATCTGGGGCACCATATCTCCCTGAGGGTGTGTTCCCCGACACCCTGTGATTATGGCAGGATCAAGGGAGCAGACAGTTTGATGCTTCCTGACGCCTAGCATGTGAGATTAGAAGCCGGTGAGGGCAGGCCAGACACAACGGGTAGCCCTCTGGCCTGCTCACGCTGCCTCAAACTGGGCTCCCCTAATTCCAGCCCTGACCCCCCCCAGCGTTTACACCCCGTGCTGAGATGAATAGAGATCCTCCCTCCTTTAGCTCCGTGAGCAGCACCAGATTCCAGAGAGTGTCTCCTAAAAGATGCCTGTCTCAGTGACGCCTTCCCCATCCACCTGCTCTGACTCCTTCAGTGACTCCTCTGGCCCAGGCCTCCCACTGAAGCTGGGCCTGAGGCTGAGGGTGGGCAGGATGCTGGAGCGGGTCAGTAGCGTGGTGCGGCGGCTGGAGAAGCTGCCGTTGGAGAGCTGCCTGCGCATCCGGGGCCCAGGACTCCCACAGCAGGCCAGATGGCGCAGGGGGCGAGGCCACAGGTGGCTGTTAAAGCCCATGTAGATCCAGGGGTTGCAGCAGCTGCTGAGGTTGCCCAGAAGCATGGAGATGGTGAAAGCAACATTGGTTGAATCTGCCAACAGAGAAGCACAAGAAGCCTTAGAATGACGGCTGGGAGGGATCTGGGGAAGAGTCCAGGACCTCACTGAACAGAGGAGGAAACTGAATCCTAGAAAGGAGAAGAAACTCATAAAGGAGGAGGACAAGTGCTGAGAGACACAGTTCACGGGCCACACATTGCCATCCTGGACTGGATCATTTGAAAATCTCTTTCCACTCTATTATTCTATCATTCTAATGCTCATTTAGCGAACTGGCAGTTGGTTGGCCAAGCCTATCAATGAACATATTTCATTCGGGCCACGTAGTATTTTAAAATATTTAAATTGGTTACCCAAATTTTAAAGAATGGAAATTTCACACGAAAGCTACTTACGTGGCATCGGTCAGCTGGATGGGAGTCGTAGCTGTGCCCCGTCATACGGGACAGGCGCCGCCTCTCTGAATTGCTTCACTCATTTCTTACCTGCCTGGCCCTGGGAGGCACCGTAACCCGGTCCTAACCCTCCTGTTTTCCCTTCCCTGCTCTCTTCCACTCGCCCACCCCTCACCCCAACCACGCACTTGCCTTCGTCAGGGGCATTCTCGTCCCACACAGACCACATCTGGACGCTGAAGAAGGGTGCCCAGCAGGCGATGTAGGCCAGCACGATGACAAAGCTCATCTTCACAGTTCGGATCTTGGCCCTCGAGATGGTGCTGACGCTGCTGACCTGGGATGGCAGTCCTCGCGTGGCCGCAGCTGGGGCAGCAGGCAAGGGCTCGCCCCAAGTCTTCCAGCCCCCTCCTTCTACCCTGCAGGTCTTCGTCTTGACTTTTAGGTTCTTACATATCTCGTGATAGATGAGGCTGTAGCAGGCTGTGAGCATGGCCACAGGCAAGATGAAGATGGCCAGGGTGGCCCAGGTGATGTAGGCCCGTGGCCCCCAAGGGAAGCGAAAGTCTGCCCAGCAGTCCAGTTCTCCGGAGCCCTGAGTCACCTCCCGCAAAGAAAAAATGAAGACTTGAGGGAGGCTGAGGATGGCAGCCAGCAGCCAGGGAGCAGCGATGAGAGGGTAGGTAGACTGGCTGGGCTGCTGGAGGCTGCGCAGAGGGTGACACACGGCCAGGTAGCGGTCCAGTGTCATGGCCAGCAGCATGTAGGTGGAGGCGAACATGCTGAGCACCTGCAGGTACTTGATGGCCCGGCAGAGGAGGTCGGAGCCCTGGAAGCGATAGGTGATGTCCCACAGCAGCTGGGGCAGCACCTGGAAGACCGCCACGCCCAGGTCAGTCAGGGCCAGGTGCAGCACAAACAGGTGCATGCGGGAGAGCTTGCGGCCCCGCTGGCCCAGCATCAGCAGCACCGTCAGGTTGCCCCCTGCTGCCAGCACCAGGACAGTGGCCAAGACTCCGATCTCCACCTTGGCCAGCTCCTGATCCCGGCCAGGCCTGGGCGTGGTGGCATTGGGGGCAGAGAGGGTGCTCCCAGGGATAGGGTTGGCCGCCCAAGGAGGCCCAGATTCCATGGCGAAGTTTGCTGGGCGGGAAGAGAGTGGGGAGAGGGGTGGATGGAGAGCGTGGGTGCAAGGAGAGTTTTGAGGGGTGGCCTGAGTGCGGTCGGGAAAGGTGTAAGATGGAGAGAAAGGAGAAGGGCCAGGATGACAAGGAGAAGGCTGCGAATAGGCGGGAATAGTTAAGAGGATAAGGACAGAGAGGAGGAGGGAGAATGAGATAAGGAAGGAGAAGATGCTGCTCCAGGAGAGGGGAGAAGCACCTAGGAGCAAAGGGGAGGTGGAGGGGAGATGGCGGGCGAGGAAGGGAAGAATGGAGCAGGCTGTGCAAGGTCGACTCCTGGGAGAGAAAGAAGTCTGGGGGAGCTGCGCCACTCCCGAGTGCACCCCAAATTCATTTTCTTCAAACTGGAAGCCGAAAGTGCATATCCCTAAGGCTGCTTGAAGGCGCTCTGGGTCACCCGCGTCGCCTGGGCTGTGAGTGGCGACAAGCGGCAGCGGGAGCGCAGCGGCTCTGGAGGGGCAGGTTTTATGCGCTGGTGGCCCTGCCCAGCGGCCCTCAGAGCGGGTTGGCTCCTGCAGAGGAGGGCGGAGTAAGACTCAGGCCCCCAGGAGGGAAGGGGGAGGCAGGGTGGTCAAGGGAGGGTAAATGGGAAGGGACAGGGGGCGGGGGACGAGGGACAGGGAGCGAGAGAAGCAGACGACGCAAGCAGTGCTCACCAGCCAGTTGGACCCACACTCTTGCAGTCAGACAAACTCATCTACGCTGTACCCTGGAGCGGTCGGACTGTCTCTCGGGACAGGTGCGCACCTGGGGGTGCGGTGACAGTTACCCACCTCCGCGGGACCCTGCGGATGGCAGTGCTGTTGGGCGCGCCACCTGCTACGGGCTCCCCTAGGCCCGCGAAGGGACCAAAGTCCTCAGGGGTGGCAGGTGGGTGGTGAGGCAGCGCCCCAGAAGGAGCCCCTGCCCTGGGGAGGACGTCTGACCGCAGACCCTGGTGGGAGACTTGGAGCCATGCAGGGAGAAAGAAAATGCGAGTGTGTGTGTGTGTGTGTGTGTGTGTGTGTGTGTGTGTGTGTGTGTGTGGAGGCGGGCGGGGTGGTGACAGGAGAGAGGTGGGGTGGAAGCAGCTAGACCTGGGGCATCCGTGCGCTTGTGGGAGGGGCTGTCAGGGGAAATTTGGGTACTTGCGGAGCAAGGGAAGGCGTGACACGACCCGACCCCGACCCTTTTACGTTCTGTGTCCTAAACGCAGTTAACCACTCAGTGAGGTAGAAATTTGAGGCCGGAGAAGTTCTGTGACTGGCTCATAGAACTGGTGGAGGCAGGACCAGGCCCCAGCATGATGTGCTTTTCCCAGAGCGGACTTGACTAACATCCAGTAGGCAGAGGCAAAGATGCTGAGAGTACGAGTAAAAGTAAATCACCGCCTACAAGAAGCCTTCAGCTCAGCAGAGTGTGTGGTACCGGTCGGGGAATTCACTTTATTTTTAGTTCATATACAAGATGTATTGTTGGGACAGGGAGCAGATTAGAAGTTCATTAGGACTGACAAGAGCATGGCCCACGACCTTCAGAAAGAGCAGAGTTCATCAATGTACGGAGGTCCTCTTGTCTTGCCTTTTAATCAAACCAGACCCCCATTTAGAATGTCGCCCACTCTCTCGTTCATCCAAATAGCATCACTTCTTGAAGAATCTGCTTCCTAAACACCTACAAATTCATCTCCATTTCGTCACACTGCCACAGTTCAAATCCCATTTCTCACTGATAATACTGTAGCATCTACCTTTGGTGCTTTGCAGCCCAGCTCCAGCTCCTCAAGGATTTCACTCTTTATGAGTGATTATTTTAAGTGTCTCTAATGGTTCATTCCCATCTGCAGGCAAACAAATTCTAGTGTTGTACATTAAAAAAGGGGAGGATTACAACCCTCCTCAGACACTGTGCCTCCCTCTCCAGCTACTGCAATCTTCCCCTTCACAGCAAAACTTCTCCATTTTCTTACTCCCAATCATTCATTTCTTGATGTATTCATTTTAAATGATATACATTTAAACATGTTTTTAAAATATTACATATTATGTGAACGATATAGTATATATACCATTCTGGAACTTGCTTTTAAAAAATATATCTAGATAACATTGGTTAATAACATTATATAAATTTCAACTTGTAATATGACATCTGTAGACTCTCATGTGTGCTTACCACCTAAAGTCTAGTCTCCTTCCGTCACGGTATATTTGACCCCTCTTTCTCTTCCGTCCACTCTCCCTCCCCTCTGGTAAACACCATTCTGTTGTGTATATCTATGAATTTATTCTGTTTGTTTGTTTTGTTCGTTCATTTATTGCTTTCAGTTTTATGTCCTATGTATGAATGAAATTATATGATTCTTGTCTTTTTCTGTGTGATTTATTTTACTTAGCATAGTACTCTCAAGATCCATCCATGTTGTCACAAATGACAATATTTTATCTTTTTTAATGGCTGAGCAGCATAGTATTCCATTGTGCATATGTACCACATCTTCTTTATCCAATCATTCATCAAAGACTCTTAAGTTGTTTCCATGTCTTGGCTACTGTAATAGTGCTGCAATGAACATCGGGGTACATATATCTTTTGAATAAGTGTTTTCAAATTTTTCGCGTACATACCCAGAGAGGGATTGATGAGTCATATAGTAACCCTGTCCTTAAATTTTTGAGAAACCTCTATACTGTTTTCCATAGCAGCTGCACCCATTTGCATTCCTACCAACAGTACACAAGGGTTCCCTTTTTTTCACATCCTCGCCAACACCTGTTATTTCTTTCCTTTTTGATAAGAGCCATTCTAACAGGCATGAAGTGATATCTCATTGTGGTTTTGATTTGCATTTGCCTGACGATTAATGGTGTTGAACATCTTTTCTTGTATCTATTGGCCATCTGTTTGTCTTTTTTGGAAAACGTCTACTCAGATCTTCTGCCTATTTTTAAATCAGATTGTTTGTTATTTTGCTATTGAGTTATGTGAGTTCTTAGTATATTTTGGATATTAGCCCCTTGTCAGATGTATGATTTGTAATTATTTTCCCTCGTTCAGTAGGTTGCCTTTTCGTTTGTTGCTGGTTTCCTCTGCTCTTCAGAAGCTTTTTAGTTTATTTATTTGTTTGTTTATTTTCGCTTTTGTTACTTTTGCTTTTTGAGTCAGATTTTAAAAAAAAAACATTGTCGAGAACTGTGTCAAGGAATTTATCACCGACGTTTTCTTCTAGGAAATTTATGGTTTCAGGTCTTACATTCAAGTCTTTAATCGATTTTGGGTTCATTTTTGTTTATGCTATAAAATGCTTGTTCAGTTTCGTTTTTTTACATGTGGGTGTGCAATTTTCCCAACACCATTTATTGAAGAAACTGTCCTTTCCCCATCGTATATTCTTGGCTCCTTCATCGTAAGGTAATTGACCATATGTGTGTGGGTTCATTTCTGGGTATACCGCTATTTCTTAGCTTTTTGGTTTTAAGCATTGTCCATTGTTCTTGCTTTTGGTAGAGGAGCATACAGAGCCCTTTCAACACAGACCCGCCACTTACATGGACACTTCCTGTGACCCTTCATCTTCCCAATATAGTAATGGGAATGGTGACTCGCAGGTCTCCATCTGAGACTGAATTTGTATGAACTTAAAGTTGAATCTCAAGGAAATAATAAATATTAACAAATTGTAAAAAGACATGATTCGTCCTCAAATTATTTAATCTAATTCTTTACAAAAAGATTTGCTTCCATGGATTTGAATGTTAGTTTCTATATTTCTCAGAGGCAGAGAAATCAAAATTGAAATTGTTAGGTGCCATTTCAATTTAAAAAAGAAAGGATTCTATTTTCATATAGTCAGCTTGAACTCAATGTGTTCTGAATAGACCCATCATAAAAAATAAAATGTATTTCTCAGAATATAAACTTATCAATATCTCTTCCTTTAATAATCTTCTATTTTGACCAAAAGGATGAACTCAAAATACTTCCTGCATTATTATTGGCCAGTGAAGAGTGAGGATGTGCATCCCTCTTATGCCACACCATGACCTGGGCAGAAGAAAGTGGATAAAGGCGTTTTTCTCCTGCAGCCTCCGGGTGCCTGTCTGCAGAGGCCTCTTCTTGGCTAGGACTCAGAATCCTCTCAGCATGTTGAGTTACTTACTAGAGCTAGCATTTTACAAAGATGCCTGGGCCCTTCATGACACACCCATCATCTACTAGGCACTAACCTTTCTGCCTGCCTGGGCAACCCTTGATTCATGGTCTCATAAATGTCTAGATAGAGGAAGTGGTCTGGGGAAGATGGGCCATTACGGGGACTAATGCATCTTTTACAGCCGGGAGCAAGCTTTGGTGTCACCACCATCTTCTGTTAATTTGGTTTAACGTTGAGATTGATGAGTAAAAGGAGTGGGTGTGGCAGATGGGAAGGTCCATCTAATTGGTGTTGATTTCAGGGTCTCCCAGAAAGTTTCCATTTTGTTCTTCTCACCATAAAATATCTCGTACAGTCATAGAATGTTGGAATTGAAAGGGACTTACCTTTTGGTTCAGACCAAGAGGTTGAGGAGTGATGGGAAGGACCTGAGGGACCATCAAGTCCCATTTTCCAGAAGGAAGTCCAACCAGAAAGCCAAAGACTCAAGTGAGGTTCTCAACATCCCACGGATAGTGGAGGTGAGAGTGTGACCAGGAGCCAGTTCTACCCGTATGCTCTTTTTATCCCATCTGTACACTGATCCGTCAGGGCAGTGGTTCTCCATCCCGGCTGCATGAATTGTAAAATGCCCAGGCCTCACCTACAGAGGTTCTGATCCGCTACCATGAAGCAAATGTTTCAGCACTGTAGCTAATAAAGCCAACTTAGTGTTTGGCACATAATAGAAGCTCAATAAACTTCTGCAGAATGTTAATTCAGTATGTAAGGGGCACAGATGAGTAAATGAATTATCCCTGCCAGGTAATGTTGCCTTAT